GGACTGGGACCTCCTGACTGCCGATGAGACAGCAAGAGCAAAAGGGGATGGTCTTGAACTGGAATATGGCTTTGGGGCTGCAAAAGTTCTTAGAGTTTTTAAGCTCAATGATGCTGGTTGACAGGAGGGGAAACTCAAAGGTTTGCTTTTAACAGGAGAGTTGGATGACACAATTTTGTTTTCATCATCATCTTTTTGCTCATCTGCTGAAGGAGAGAAACTACTTGCTTTATGTAAAAGAAAAGTAGTTTGATCTGGTGACAATTTTCTTTTTTCTATGTCTGTACTCTTAGCTTCATTTTGAATAGTATTGGGAACAGAAACAGTGCTTTTGGCAACTGCAGATGTCACATAATGAGCTGAAGCTCTTCGCTGCATTTGCAGAAAAAAAGAACTAGGTTTCATTGCAGGACTTAATGCATTCGACTTGTCTTGAGTCTCGGAAGAAGCGTTTGCATTATCCAAGCTTAGCGCCAGGGGGACACGTTGTTTGGAGAACTCCGTTTCTACTGGATTGCTCTTGGGAGCAATCTCAAGTTGAGAAGTCCCAGCGTGCTCAGAAACACTGTTCACTCTGTGCAGTGAACCATTTGCTGCTGTATGTTCATTTTGCGAACCAACCTGCAAATGATCCACACTTTCTTGAAGTTGAGGAATTTCAGTTTGCATTAATTCTTTGGAGTCTTCATGGTTCAGAGAGTTTTCCAGAGCAGACACCTGTTGATCCTTATAATCTGATGGAATTTCTGATTCTAAGCTTTTCATTACTTCCAAGGATTTTGGAGGCACTATTTTGTAAGTAGTCATTCCAATTTTTGGTATGTAATCTCTTGTAATTTCATTAGAGGGTTTAGGTTTAGGCTTGGTATCCTGTCTATAAAGAGGGTAACTTTTCAAAGGAGAGCCATCTGGAATTTTTGCTGTTGCTTCTGGGGAAGCAACATTATCACCATTTACAGAGCTGTGACTTTGATCTTTTATGGGATTTCCTTCTCCTTCCCTCTGAAGGTTTAATTCTGCTGAAATTTCTTCATCCTCTTGCACTCCATGCTTCAGCTGGAGACGGGGGTTGTTTGTATCTGTATTGTGTTGACGGGCTAGTCCCCTGAATGACTCAGGCTCTTGAGGAACAGTAATTTCCTTTACTGTAGTTCTTTCTAAATTGCCCTCTGATGGACCTGTCTGAATGGCAACATCCTGAGTTTTTACTGTGTCCAGACTGTTTCGATTTGACTTCTGCTCCTGTATTTCTGGAATCACTTGAGGATAATTCCTATGACTTACAGAGATGTCATTTTTACATGCCTGGCAGCTTGATAGTCTGTCAACTTCAAGCTTGTTTTCTCTAAAATCTACTGCAGTAATTTCTGTTGCCTGAAGTTCTTTTTCCTCTTCTGTTGTTGCAAGGAGTTTTGTACCATGGTCATCTTCAAGTTAAAGAGAGATTCTGAAATTAGTATGAATACTGAAAATATTTAACCTTCCGACTCAGTCACAAAACTTGAAATCTAGCATATTAATCTACATGGTCTGGTTCCTCACTATTTTTTTTTTTTGGTGTTGTTTGTTTGTTTGCTTTTCCTCCACACCTACTTTAAAATCCATTTAAAGACATACTTTGAATAATATTGCCAAAACAGAGTATTCTTACTCAGGTAATCTGCATTAATTAACAGGCTTCTGGTGTCATGCACCTAATTAAAAGAAAAACCTGTTCCAGAATCATTTTAAAAGTATTAATGAATTTCAGTTTATTACATTGGCATAGGACTAATCAATGCTGAGCGGTCTATTTTATCTAGTTTCACATCACTGTGGCTCTTGTTTACAGCTTTAATATAAAATATTTTGTGGACTGTAATTAGTTTATATGCGTAATGGAACAATTGGAGAACACATGGGCACAAGCAATACATCCAGCTAGGGTTTTCCAAGCATTCAGCAGGCCTGTTTGCTGCCTCATGGACTAAATGCACGTGGTCCACGTGGTTTCTCCAAAACACAGAAATATTTGGGTCTCAAATTGTTCAAATTACAATATTGCAAAAAAATGAATGCTTCAAAAATAAACATCTGAAGTGGCATTTTACAAAAAATGTCTCTCCCTATTTTAATTATATTATAAAAATGGCAGCAAAAGCTTATTTTAAATGTAAGCAAGACTCATGCAGTATGTTCATATGATTTACAGACAGAGATATTCTGACTATCAAGGTAGTGACTATGGAAAACTGAATGTGAATCTGAAAGATCAATGTTACAAAAAGGAGAAAAATCAATTAGTAAGGTCACTAGATTCACTGAAAAATGTACGAACCATTTGTACCTCTAGGATGCTGCTGTTTCCTTCCAAGTAAATACGTCACTACTTGTGTTTAAATATCACATTTTTCACACTGCAAGCCCATAGCAATTTCACTTGAACATCAAGAGGCCTCTCCCGCTCAGCACAGTCCCAGCAGGAGAACCTCTGCACCCAACCACCTTCCCTGTCCTCATCACAGCTCCACCCAGACCCATCCCCACGCTGCCACAGGACACTGCAGCGCAGCTCTCACTACTGCTATAGGAGACAAGGGGACAGGGGAAGGAAAAAAAGTAAATTCTGCTTCCCCTATCCCACAGGGTACATCAGAGTTCAAGAAAATAAAAATAATCTGCTTATAGTGATTCAAGCTCACTAAATTAAATTGCCATTGTTTTCAAAGGAAATGTTTTCTTCAAACTTGTTTGAAAGTATTAAAAATGAATGGTAACTACTCACCATCATTTTTGTTTTCATCCAAAATTCTGAGCTTCCTGTCTTTTTCAAAGGCAACTTGCTCAGTACTTATTTTAGTCTGGAGTCCTCTACAAAGCACAACAGTACATTAAATATGCTGGTATCACTCATTTCAGTAAACACAAGAAAAGATGCAAGAGAACTGGCAATATCCTCCAAACACAGATGGACAAAATAAAACCATTCTGCCAAACACTGGAATACTCAAACGATTATTTTTTTTTTAAGTGACAGGAAATGCTGTTATGATATTTTATATGCCAAAATGACATGCAGCTTCACTCTTCTGAACAAGACAACATTCAGTTTTCCTTTCCCTTCTTCCCTCCTTTTGTTTACTCCTGCACTTTGAACAACCTCCTTGCCAGTAACAGCTCAGCTCCAGCAAAGCCCCTATAGTGATTGTTTATCATTTATCTAAGTGTTCTTGGTGTCAAGACTTCTGATACCTCCAGCAGAAAGAATATGTCCTCGATTTTGCCACATATACAAAACACAGCAAGTTATCCTAGCCACTCATTGCATATGAAAATGTGCAATGCAGACTTTCCCAAGTAGTTGTATAAAAAAATTTCTGATCGTTTCAAGAGAAATCGTTAAAACAACAAGAAATATGCAAAAAAATGTTATGGCATGCTAAAGATTTTGCAAATGCAAATAACTTTTGCCCTCAAATCATAAGCGGCAAGAGAATTGTTCAAGTGCTCCCTTTTTTTTTTTTTTTTTTGGTGGGGGGGTAGAGAAAAAGAGGGAGAAGTAAGTATTTGACTTTAAAATGTAAATAAAAAAGATAATATAATATTCTAATAAAATATTCTAGTATATTTTAAAGCAGTTGAGCTTCAGACTTAGGTCACCATTTAAGATGCTTTTATTTTCACTAGTTACAAGTATCAGCATTATGAAGATGATAATTTATTTTCTACTTCAAATTAATTAGTTAGCAGGAACCAGGTAAGCTGAAATATCTGCTTGAAACAGTTTTAAATGATAAATTCTTCAACAACATTCCTCTTCATCTGCTTACACAGTCTAAAGCGTCCAATAAACCATTAAACACAACCATCAACTCTCACAGCACTTACTGAAAAGAAAGCTAAAGTTCCTGCACTTCATACATTTGAGAGAATGAAGTGCAGATATTCACAGGCCAAAATGTTTTTGAAATAAAGAAATAAAGTCCAGATTTTTTTTTTTTTGCAAAGCACCATGTGATCCAAACTGACTAAAAAGACCCTTGAAATACAAGTCCTAACTCCCTACTACCTTGGAAGTCCCTGGCCAGTCCCAGTTTGGCTCAGTATGGTGACATATGCTAACTGGGGTCAGTCTTTCCATTTAAATCAGGAAAAGCTGCCAGTTTACTTGTCCCAGGGAACACAGAGCTAGTGAACTAGGTGAACCCAAGGGGGCTTCTCTGGACACTCAGGGTTCATTTCAAGAAGGCCCTGCCTCCCGCTGGGTCAGCAGCTCTAACCACGCACTGAAGGGCCAGGCCGCAGCACCACCCAGAAGGAAAAGGAGTAGTTAAGGAAAGCTGTGTGTTTATCCTTTCAAAAGGAAGAATTAACCTTGACAGCCTACGGACCAAAAAGGTCAAGATAACTAAAATCTAGGCAAAAAAAGACAAAATTAGATATGCAAGCAGTAGATGGCTGTGCTCAGAACTGAGATAGTCCAGCTACCTGATCCCCACTCTCCACGTCCTACCCACCCCCCTCCCAAAAAAAAAAAAAATTAAGAGTGAAATTTAGAATTCACATTTAAAAGTCAATCCACCATTTTTCACAGCACATTGCCCTAGTAAACATGCTGGGTATTTTAGAGCCAGATTCAGCCTGCAGAACACTTCTTTGTCATTTTTGTTGAAAAGTTGGCTGAATCAGTGCGTCCAGAAGAGTGCTGCAATTGAAACCTCTGCTTATTAAGCTCATTCCTCTCTCACAATCCTCTATTCTGTGCTCCACAATGAAGCAGCACTCTGCGCTTTATTTGCCTCCCCCGTTCCCTCCCCAGTGCTCCTTTCTTTGTCACAAGGCGTACTTACTTGCCATCTGTGCTAATATTTTCTTGTTTTTCTTCCTTGAGGCTTTGTGTGTTGTCTACAGAAACACTGCCAGGAACTGGAGCTGAGGAAGCAGGATCATTTTTCTCAGTTTCCAAAGGTAGCTCAGCAGAGCTCAGGGCCGCAGGAGCCTCTGCTGTCCTCAGAGAGGGCTCTGTGCTCTCCGTCCCCGCTCCGTGGTGCACGCTCATCTCTTCGTTTTCATCAATGCCCTCCAGACCGCACTCTGTGCTCCCTCCAGCTATGTGGACGGAGGGCCAGAAAAAGTGCAAACACCAAACAAACACAAACAGCAATTCAGAGTGCAGATACAAAGAGACTGCAAAGTCAGCCTAAATAGTTTAAAGAAGGAAAATTGAGAAGAGTTCTATTCGTAATTCAGGGGGAAAAAAAAAATACTCGTTCCGAGTTTTAACTCTTTTTACAACACTTTATTTTCTACTCCTTTCCATTTATTTCTTTTTACACAAGAGCACATGCTCACTCCCATGCTACTGTCCGTATGTTTCTGTATCTGTAACTACTGGATACACTTTTCCTTTGTTCACCCAAATATAAATATAGAGCATATTCATTATATCCAGATTGCTTGCTACTTTCTTTAAATCTCCAATCAGGTTTAAAATATATGATTTGTTTAGATCAGTACTAATGTTAAAGAACTAAAAAACAAATCAGATCTCATCTTTGCTGGCGTTTTAAATAAGTATGCTCATCACTGTCAAAATTTTGCCTTAATTATCTTGACTCTACTAAAACACGGTTAGAAGTGTCTTGTGTGCTGCCCTGTGTTACCACAGAAGTGCTCAAAAAAAGCATGGAGCAGCATTAATCTGTGACAATAATAAACTTTTCAGCTAAATTATAGTTAAGCTAAAAGATTTAGTTACTGGTTTAGGATACACACAAGTCAGTATACCTAAAGTTAGACTAATCCATCCTCTTATTTGATTTCCAAAGGGACTCATTTTCCCCAGCTTTACTTTCCTGCCAGGATTCTTCCTACAACAAGATGTTGATTCATATTTTTCAAATATTAATAAGTAGGATGTACAATTAACCTCTTGGCTTTGCAACTTGCGTTCTGTAACACAAACCAAATAACTCTAATTTCATCTATATGGTGCAATATGGCACCTGGTAGAGCCACTGAGAGCAGCACAGCCATACAAGCAGTGCATGCTGCCCGAGCCGAGCAAGCAACCCTGGGCACTTGCTCTCAGGCTTTCAAGCAGTTCAGTTTCAGACTCTTGTGGAAAAGTTGTATCAGAAAATTTCTAGGTGTAAACCTACCCTAAATAAAGGCAAAGAATGATAATAAAATACTGAAGTACACAGTGCTAGAAAGTAGCAGATTGAAGAGTATAAGCTTATTTGAAGAAAAACCTATAAACACACCTCTACACACAGGTGCTGTACTTTCAGAGAAGTACTTCCAGAGAAGCACAAAGTGTCACAGAGACTAAATGGAATGACTTTCAGGAAATCTCTGTTCAGAAGAACTTTGCTCTAACAAGCTCATCAGCTAAGCCTTCAGCAACAGCAATGCACAGGCACATAGCAGTCAGGAAAGCCAGAGTCATTAGTTCCACATCGTTTTTCTGTCGTGCTGCCCTGTCATACTGCTTTGGGGCTGCTCTGTAAGCAACATGGTCAACATCTGCCGCAAGTGCGAACGCAGAGGTGATTTAGATCCCCAGGGCAGGTGGGGCCAGACTGCAACATGCTGCCGCTTACTCTCTGCCCCGAGACCTAAGCACACCCGTACACACATGTGCCGCACTCGCCTCAGACGGCCTCCCTAGGCCCCTTACAGACAGCAACTTCTCTGTTTTTTTTTTTTTTTTTTGCTTTTCCTTCCCAGCTCTTTCATCTCCACCTATGGAAAATGCATGCATGCAGCCTAGTGTTTTGGGAAACAATTTCAGTGGTAGCACTATGGCTTTATACGTACAGAAGTATAGATGTCACAAGGCAAAAACAAAAGTGTGCAAAACTCAGATAAACATCAGATCTGCTGAGATTGTTCCACAATCACCCACTTCCAAAACACCATCTCTGGCACAGGTGAGAAGCACTAGTATGCCTGAAAAGCGGACTCACAGAACCTCCATCCCAGAGCTCAATATACTATGGAAACCGGAATTACACAACAAAACACTGCCAGTATTTCTGACAAGACAAATGGAAACATTCTGGAGCTGCTATGGCTTGGTGCCCAGGCGTTGCTGTCATCTCTGCTGCTTTCCTCTGGAGAAGTATTACAAAGGCTGAGTCACATCTCCGTGGATGGGACGGAAACGCAGTCAGCCCGGGTCAGTATAAGACCTCACTGACACTGCTGCCAGACAAAGGCCTCTGTCCTAGCACCTTCACTGTGCTAGGAACTGGATTAATCTGAACTGCAAATGTAGGATTTCAACCAAGAAGCAACTCACACTATTTGCAGGGAGTGTTTCGGACTTGCTTGAGGTTGGTTTCAATTGGTGGCTTTTCATCTGTTACTGGCCTGCCATGGCTGCAGCAGGTTAAAGTCTGAATTTGGTCCAAAACAAAGCGAAACAACAACAGCTACAAAAAACAACCATCCCTCATTTATATCATTCAGTTAACTTGCCAGAGCAACTGTTCTAGTTTTTTGTGGGTCTTTTCTCTAGTCACAATTTAGAAGTTTTATATGCAACATATCACTAAGCATTTATCGCAACCCCGGCTAGATACTGTATCCATACTGATTCCTTGCTCTATGTTTGTACCTGTACATACATATACCATGCATATGAAGCTGTTTTATTTCTGCACAAGTGAACAGTCTCAGATAACAAAGCATATGAATTGCACTTTTGTCTGCACTTAATTTAATGCCCGATCTTCTCAGGGAATAAGCTTTAAATAGTCCTAAGGGAATAGTGTTAAAACCTATGAGACAAAACTGTGAAGAAATGCCTGCTATACCCCCAAAAGTCTCACTTGAGTCAATAAGAATACTCTTTACCCAGCAGATAAGAGGCTCATACTGCTTTGCAGCCATTATGCTTGTAAGTACCAAAACCAGAAAGACTGACTACATCATGTAAATCTCTCAGTGCCTTTGCTCTTGATGCCTTCAAAAGTTCTTAAGAGATATTGTAACTAAGAAGATTATAGCAGGAGATTTATTTAACAGAAGACTATTTAAAAATCAGTAATTCTTTTTTATTTTTTTTAAATCATTTCACCCTCTCCCCCAGAAAAAAAAAAAAAAAAAGACTAAGCGTTAATACAGTTTAGGGAAGGGGAACAAAAATCATAATAGAGTAAAAAAATGTTGCTTACAATCCAAAATGTTCAAATTATTTCTCTTAAAAGTTTTTTCTAGTAGATGCATATGTTCAAGCCACTTCTGTCTCAGTACAGTCTGTCTTTCCACTATGGAAATCTGAAAATACCATTTTAAAACAGAAACACACTGCTGCAATTATACAGAGTAATTCCACTTAGCAATGCACTACTTGGACACTAAATAAATTTCTCAATCATCTGTAATGCCTCATTATAGGGCAGAAGGTTATACTATATCTGCAGCTTAATTTTATTATTTAATAAGGCAGCAGTGCAAAGCAGAGCTACTTTGTGAATGCCAGTCACAACTGAACAAAAACTACCAAGGCTTCCACAAGACTGATACTCAAAGCAGTGTTAAAGTGGAAAGAAATACTAAATAAACTTAAAATTATGTCCAATTTAACAGTTAAAGGGATACTAAACTATTACATCTTGTATATTTAAACCCATTCTCAATTTGATGCATAATTTTTAGGGTAGGGATAAGAGAAGAGTAGCACAACTGGACTTACTGCCTGTGAATACTGCTTCTCATGGCACAATGGGCTTCCCTGAAACGACCTTTCACAAAAGGCCATAGAACAGCCACCAGAGAGCAGCAGTAACTCATAAGAAAAAAAATGGCAAGGAAGCTGTGCTGTGGGACTATGTCTTTACATTTAAAAAAAAAAAAAGAGCATTATAATGAATCTTCAGCACAGGATATGGCATGAAGATATCACAAGCAGTACAAGCAAATAAATACTGAGAAAATAAATCCCAGGGCTCAACAGCTCAGTAAAGATGAGTTCATTTTATCACAGCATGATAAATTTGCTCACCTGGGACCTATCACCTGAGGATAAATAAACTTTTAAACACAGAAAATTAAATACTAATAAACACTCTTCAGAATGATTTACTTAACAGTATTAGAAGTCACTATCCTCCATCTGCTAAAGGAAAGGTTATGTGTTTTACTTTTAACTAACATCATACATGAAGATTACGTAACATTATAAAGAAGAATACTACAACCAATATTTAGATCTTATTTCAGGTGCATCAGGATACAAGCGAAGATATTTTCATCATTCAGATGCTGGAGAGAATTTTGTTTGTGCCTGGCAAAATCAAAGCTATGATAGACACACGCTGGAACAGCAGCTTTGATAATATCAAAGGAACACTTCAGAAATAAGGTTTGCTGGCTGCAATGATTTATAAATTAAAGAATATAAACATTAGAATGACAACAGAAAAGCAGCCAGGGGATTTGCAAAACAGATCTGTTATTTTCAAAGGGAATTCTAAGTTTGGTAAGCTGAGTCTTCATTATCACTTAATAATTACATTCATGTTTTATAACTACAGCTTACAATTTCTTTACAATCTCTTTCATATGGTGCTTTAAGCATGCCTTCAAGACTAATTCAGATTTTCATACTTGGATATTTTCCAAATGCCAGAAAGCCTTGTATTACAGAAGGAAAAGTTACAGCCCTCAGTGTTTACTGCACTTTTGCAAAAGGCTCCAAACCCGAACAGGAAGCAGACAGAGAGGATGAACATTTGAACATCAGCCACTACTTTCTAGCAAGGTAATTCAAATCTCTGGTGAAACTCAGTGCACATTAAAATGCCAGATAATTGCAGATGCACTATTTGTTCACACAGTCTAGCATATGTGTTATAAGGTTCTAAAAATATTTTCACTGTGTATATTATTGCTTCCAACATTGAAGTGCACACAAATATATAACAGGTCTACAACCATACCTCTCTACATCGTCAACCTCAACTGCATAGCATTTGTACTTTGAATTTATTAAGCTAGATATTTTTATTCTTACAGAGACTTTCCTGCTAAAATTTTAACATAGATATTCTCTGAAAATGTACACAAATTGAGCCCAAATTCAATGATTACCAACAATTTCTTTTCTCGTTTGCCAGGAAAGTTAGGATGGCAGATGACTGACTCTACTCTTGTTGTGTTTTACCAGTCCAGCCAGTTTGACTGGCATCCCCAATAAACTAGCTGGAAAATACTCAAGAGTTCCTGTCACCTGGTGAGAAACTTGAGTGTTTAGCCTCACACAGTGCCTGTGGCACTCCGCGTGCTTACTATTGATATGCTTCATCCTTGCTGAAACGCTTCGGCAAGTGGTTTTTCCGGACTGCATTGACACTTACTATTCTAAAAGCACTTGCAAATTTTAGAAGACTCTTAGAAGCTCTGACTTGATTCTTGAGTCTGAATCCTACCATAAGGTGCTTACAAACAGCCATATTGAACTTAAAAAAACAAAAAGTTATTCAGCAGATAAGTAACTGTATTTTACTCTAAATATCTATACCTTTGTATATCACAATTTATTTTTATATGGAAGTACAACGACTTATGAGTACATTTTATGTTTACAACTCAGGTTTTCAAAGGCTGTTCAAGATGGAAGCCAAAAGGCAGGCACAGGTTTGCTCCTAGACTCAGAAGGTCAAGGGCACACAAGAGGAGTTTCTGGAAACAAGACTGGACTTCAGCTTTTGAATGACTTGTTATTGGGTATACAAAAAGCACTAAAATTTGTGACTAGTTTGCACTAGAAGGGGGAAAACAGGGATAAATGTTTAGTTTTCTAAAATGTAAAGTATCGACAATATAGGTACAACTTCTTGAATATAGTATGATAAAATGTCTTTTAGAGAGCCATATTCTGCACTTGAAACCATGAATTAACTGATCTGAGGCCTTGTAATAATCCTGCACCTAAGATACATCTGCAGTACAGAAATTTATTGCTATGAATTATAAAAGCTTACTGTAAAATAGATTTCACAAACACATTTGGAAAAAAACTAACCTGTTTCTGTCTGTATTTCAGTGGCTTTTTCTTCCACAGTATCCTTAGCAGGTGTTACTGTAACAAATCAAATAAAACTTTTTAATAAAAGTATTGCCTCTTAATTTTTGCACCACAAAAACTCTAGACAAAGTGTTGAATTGTGATTTTCAAGAAATACAGCTTCTCTAAAGTAATCAAACATTGTCACACATCCCAAATTGTTTAATCTCACCACTTAGGTATTTTTGAAACTAAGAGAACTGAATTTTTAGATCAAAAAGAATTATAATAGCAT